CATTAGCATATTTTCTTCCGTGTAATTTTCTGTATGCTCTGATTTTGTTTGCAGGTAACACACATGTTAATTTTATTATTCAAAAATTAAGCCTTTTCTAAAACAGGTTTTTAGCCCAGCCAGTGTTGCTCAGTGGTTGACTTATGAACCAGAAAGTCAGTTTAATTCCAGGTCAGGGCGCATGCCCAGGTTGTGGGCTCAATCCCCAGTGTGGGACTGCAGGATGCAGCCAATCAGTGATTATCTTTCATCATTGATTTTTCTATCTCTCCCTCTCCCTTCCTCTCAAAATCAATAAAAATATATCTAAATAAATAAATAGGTTTTTAAAAAATGAGAGGGAAAAGATTCGAGCTTACATAGAACAGTTACATTTTTCAATTGTCTTTTTATCTGGCGATAATATAAATAATTTTAGTATTGCTTTATTTTATTTCAGAGTTCTAAAATTGATAGATTAATAATTTTTCTGCCATTCTTTAGGTCATGGTGGTCATACATACCTGAAAGAATGATTCTGGTGGGTTGGGCTAATGTTCAGTAAGTGCTTTTCAATTTACAATCTATTGAAGTTATATTTAACCCAATGATATATTTTTTTAAGTTTGTTTTTTCATGGATCCCAGGTTTAGAATAAGCCAACAAGATTCAGAGTATTTTTTCTTTTCCCAGATATTTTCAGTAAAATCCTACTTCCTCCCATAATTACATACACACTCACATACTAGTACACAGACATACTCATATGAGCATACTTTTCTATAACGAAAAATTACCTCAAGAACATATTTCTGTCTTTGCTCTACATTCAGGTCCATTTCTATGTGACTAAGTCAAAAGCAAATTTAACTTCAGCTTCCGTTGCCTTGGCTGAGAGTTACAGTTGGATATTACTGTTCAAAGCCTGCGCTATAGAGAAGCAACATTCCTAGGAAAATTATCCTAATGGGGGGGGGGCATCCTAGGAACAAATAACAGAAAGTGACAAGGATAAAGTTGATATCAATTTCTAGAAATTGAGATTGAGTCTTTCAATAAAATCTTGCATTTTTGTTCTTTTCTTCTGGCAGAAGTAGAGCTTTCTTAATCATAGTAAAATAGAAATTAAATGCTTTCTGCTGTTCTTTGCTCTGGAAAACATGATGCATTTGTTCCTTATTAACCACTAATTTGTGCACATTTACTGACACTTTGATTAGTCTGTCATAACATATTAGAAACTCTCAACCTAAAAAAAATCAATCTTTTTTAAAATTTATCTTTATTTTTTTAAAATATATTTTATTGATTTTTTACAGAGAGGAAGGGAGAGGGATAGAGAGTTAGAAACATCGATCAGCTGCCTCCTGCACACTCCCTACTGGGGTTGTGCCCGCAACCAAGGTACATGCCCTTGACCTGAATCGAACCTGGGACCCTTGAGTCCGCAGGCTGACGCTCTAGCCACTGAGCCAAACCGGTTAGGGCGAAACATTTATCTTTATTTTTGAAAGTATTACAGATGTCCCCCTTTCTCCCCCTCATTGACCCCTTCTCCCCACTGTTCCTGCCCTCCAGGCCTTCACCACGCTATTGTCTGTGTCCATGGATTATGCATATATGCATATCAATTTTTGATAAATCTCTTCCCATCCCCTCTCCCGGAAACTATCAATCTTGACTCACTAGAATAATGATAAAATCTACTAGGGCATCAGTAAGAACTATCCTGTTTTACAGCTGTTGGGATTTATTTAAATGGGAAAAAAGGATATTGCTAAATTGGAATTCAATACAAGTACAGAGTTTATGCAGCACAAATGTATGCTTTTGATTCTTTACATGGGCTGGACTTAACTTTACGAAGTGTAGTATATGTAAAAATTGGACAGATATGCCAAGTTTTGTGTATAGTCATGTTCTCTCACTTAACCCTGAACGTTGTGACCCCTTTGTAGTGGGAATTGGAGAAACTGCCAATTTTGTAGGCTGTGCCTTTGCCCTAGCAACCCCTGGGTGCACTAAGTATATGTCAGGCAAGCAGATGTTTTATCTGGTACTTCTGTTAGCATCATCATAGTTTTTACTCCAGCTTTCTCATTCTTATTTTTTAAATATATATTTTTATTGATTTCAGAGAGAGGAAGGTAGAGGGAGAGAGAGGTAGAAACATCAATGATGAGAGAGAATCATTGATGGACTGCCTCCTGCATGCTCCCTACTAGGGATCAAGCCTGCAACCTGGGTAAGTGTCCTGATAGGGAATCAAACCTTGACCTCCTGGTTCATAGGTCAACGCTCAATCACTGAGCCATACTGGCTGGGCGTCTCATTCTTATTTTAATTCTTATACTATTAGTTCTGTTAGTATTTTACTTCTGCTGAGAATGATCTTTTATTTTCCTTATATCTTTCTTTACTTAGGAGTAAATTTAATTTTTAGAGTGTTCAAAAGATACTATATATTTCAGTGAATATTTGCCCAGGTATAAAGCCCACCAACTATAATATTGCTTAAATTGTTACTTCTGCAATAATTTTTCTTTAGTTTAATTTGTCTGCCCTATATGCCTTTGCTGCTTCTTTGTTCTGAGGAGCTTCCCAGTGAATTAAATTAACAACCATTTCTTATTTCCTATTGAAACACTAAAAAAAATCTATGTGGTGTAAGAAAGTTGTAATGAACTAGTCATTTTTACCACTTTTCCAAGAACTGTCTAGCTTAATTCTTGAGAAAGAATTCTAAGTTTATTTACCTTTTATCTGTTTCTTCATAATTCAGTGTTATGATCTTACTATTTGAATGGATAATTCAATATGCATGGGAACATGGGCTTCATCCTAATTATTCAGGGCTCTGTAATAATGGTGATCTATACCCAACACGCGGAGAAGAGTTCTACCTAGTTGCAGATGACAGAGAAACAGAAATATTCAGATACTGATTTAAAAACTAGAACATAATTTCTGGTTAAAAATCACTTTTTGATTTTTATTTTAAAATTACATAATAACAAGTTAGACTATGACCAAATGTGGTTTATTCCAGGGATGAGGGTGATTAGATGTAAGAAAATTTATCATCATAATCTATTATATCGCTAAATTAAAGGAGAAAGCCCTATGATCACATAGATAAATAGTGAAGAGGAATTTGAAAAGTAAGTTATCAGGAATTCCTAATAAAAACTCTAGGTAAAATAAGAATAGGGAAAAAATTAACAAAAATTAACTCAAAATGGATAAAAGACTGAAAGAATAAATTACATAGAAGAAAACAGATACTAAACTTATGGACCTTGTTGCTGCTGCTGCTTAAAGACCTGGGAAAATGCTGTTTTATGTTGCTTCTGCTAAGTAGTTTGACCGCTCTCAACAGCTAGGAACCACTTTATGCTATTTTTTTAAAACCTGGACTTTACAGGAGGTATACATTTTGAATCCCAAGCTTGTGTGAAAGCAGGCTTGAAGTTACAAATCCTCACAGGGAAACCTTTTTTCTGCCTTCCCAGATCCCAGGTCATCTCCCTATGCTAGTGAATTTTTGTTCAGATTTTTGTTTAGTTTATCCTTATCTATGGTGTAGTCCTTTGAAAGTCTCAACTTTCTATAGGCGCCTAAGTTCCAAAACCCCTGCCTTACTTAGTCCTAAGGCTCTTTCTCCTGCCTCTACATTGCCATCAAAACCTAAGCACCTGCCCTAGCCTGTTTGGCTCAGTGGATAGAGCGTCGGCCTGCGTACTAAAGGGTCCCAGGTTCAATTCCTGCCAAGGGCACATGCTTGGGTTGCAGGCTTGATTCTGTGCCCCCCCCCCCGAGTAGGGGGTGTGCAGGAGGCAGCCGATCAATGATTCTCTCTCATCATTGATGTTTCTCTCTATCTCTCTCCCTTCGTCTCTGAAATCAATTTAAAAAAATATTTTAAAAATCACCAAACCTAAGCACCTTACTTAATAGATAATCAAGCCACCTGGACCCCACCATCAGAGCAGCTAAGACTTCTAACCCTGACTAAAAGCTCTGGTTTTCCGCTTTTCATTTTGTGTTGAGACTCATAGTGATTTCCTTTACTTGCCTGAAAACTCATCTGTACATTTAAAAGGACATTATATTTTATTCCAAATTTTTAAGTGTTTTGTACTGTGGAAGGATTTTTAAGTTATTTTGGTCACTAAATTACTGGAAATACACATCATATATTATTTTTAAAGGAAAATAATCTTAGGATGGCAGGCAGCATTGGCTTAGACATTAATTCTTTATTTAAAAGACCATCTCCCTTTCTTTCATAGAAGAATGTAAATGGATTTTTTCTGCCCTATTTCATCATCTTTAAACTATTTTTGCTTGTGTAAAAAAAGGAAACAAAATTGTCAACTTACCAGTTATCTTAGGTCTGCTGCCTCTTTTACTTTTATTTTTTATCCTAATCTTGGCACATTTTGCAGAATACCAGCTTTGGTGCCAGGTGTCTTTGTGTGTGTGTGTGTGTGTGTGTGTGTGTGTGT